TATCTAGTCTGCCCTCTGCCATGCTCAAGATGAGATCACTTGCCACAGCCCTTTCAAAAGGTCGCTATTTTAATTTTTTTATGGTGGGTGGAATATACATAACATGAAACTGACCGTGTTAACTGTTTCTGAGCTCCGTGGCATTGCAGACACTCCCAGTGCCATGCAGGCATCACTACCGTGTATCTCCTGACATTTCTTCTTTCCAAATGAAACTCCGTACCCACTGGACAGGAACTGTCTCCTCGCTCCCTCCAGCCCCATTTTCCTTCCATGAATCTGGCTACTCTAAGGACCTCGATAAGTTGAGCCATATATTTGTCCTCTTGTGTTTGACTGATTTCACTTAGCATTATGTCTTCAAGGTTCATCTAGAATTTCCTTCCATTTTAAGGCTGGGTAATATTCGACTTCTATGTACCCTACGTTATCATTATCCATTCTTCTGTTGATGGACACTTGGCTTGCTTCTACCTTTTGGCTACTGTGAATAATTCTGCTGTGAACTTGGCTATGCAGACATGCCTATGAGACCTGCTTTTGGTTCAGAGTATGTACCTGGAGGTGAAATTGCTGCCATATTGCTTGATGAATTTTTGCACAAAATTGGGACAATGTTCCAAGACAACTATGTATAGACCCCAGGGACCACGTTCTCCCCTAGCACAGTGGAGGCACACATGGAAGTTCCAAGAGGTCGTAGGGCTCCCATCTCTGGAAGTATTGAGGGTGATATTGTAGCCACATCAATCAACACCTCTCCTGGAGTCCAATGACCAGGGGACGGACCTCAATCTTCTGTGGTCTCTGAAACCATCTATCATCGTGATAGCTCAGGTCACATCGATATGTGATTTATTCTCCAAAACAGAAGTCTGCCACCACCCACCCCGCCGTGACTTTGTTTTTTCACCTCTTCCTGTGGTCTGAATTCCCTCACTCCGTTAATTAGCATGCCTAGCACTGAAGCTGAAGACTTTAATCAGCGTGGGGTGCTTTTAATTAATCGTGTGGCTCTGCATCTGGAGTGGTTTGTGTTCCAGGGTCAGGAGAGAAGCCGAGGTGGGGGATGGAGGGATGGCTTTGCTTTGTGTTAGACGTGGGTGGAGAGTCCAGGTATTCAGGGAGAGTGAGTCATAGGGGCACGGTGGCTAAGAAGCCACAGAGAAAAGTTTGAAAGGTAACCAGGGACATTAGAGTACACATTTGTAGAAGACAAGTGACTCAACCAAATCCAGTTTTCAAAAGTAGTTTAAAAGTCTCTGATGCTTTCCAGAATTACCCATAGAGGGAAGGGAGGCAAATCCCATATGTCAATTGGGAGAGGTCTGGCCAGTGTGAAAGAGCTTGGTCATGCTCAAGAGCTCTGCCTGGTCATGGACTTTGGGATCTCCCTGGTCCTTCCCTTCCTTGGGAACATACTGGAAAAGGGAGAGAGGTGAACCTAGTTCTCACATTGTGATGGCTGTCCTCCTTGATCTGTTGGCTCCTTGGGTTTAGCCTCCATGCATTTGAAAGAGTGGAGAAGACCTATATCAAGTTCAGAAGTGAGTGATAAAAAATGATGGGATGCATAGATAGAAAGGTCTTCCAAGGGAAGTTTAAAGAAAGTAGGGTTGTTTGCCTCCAAGAAGAGAAGGCTCTAGATGCCCAAGTGAGTCATCAGGGCCTAGTGTCTGGAGAGTGGCACAATAATGAAGTCATTATTGTAGTTGTCCATGGAAACTAAACCAGGGAGAAGGGATGGCACTGGGCAAGATTTTTGTCTGGGCATTAAAAAGGAGCAAGAATATCAGAAGTGAAAGGCAGTTTAGAACTGACCCATGCCGTCCCTCATTTCCCGATGATTGAAAAGAGGCTCAGAGAAAGACCTGCTCGATTTCACCTGGGGATCTGGGGACAAAGCAATGGCTAGACTCTGACTGTCATAATGACTACCTAGGACTCGTACCCTGGTTGCACATAGAAGAATCTAGATGAAATCAAAGAACAACCATATGACTGTCCTAGGAACAAGTGAACTACTGAATGAGTCAGGGAGCTCAGAGAAGTCCAGGGTTTCATCTGAAGAGTGACACCATGAATGGTTTCAGGGCAGACGTCATCATTCAAGGAGGAGATGACAGGATCAAGGTACTCAAAAAGCAAGTCTGCCAGGTCTGTTCAGGTCACAGTGAAGCTCATGAGGCCCAGGAGGACTCTGAGCAGTTCTCTGTGATGTGACAGGGAGGTAATGCGACATTGATGTCAAAGATATCATCGCTCATAAACTGGGAGTCATCTGTGCTTTGGAAAACCCTGTGAATTATGGAGGATTTTATATCCATGTTTGAGGATGATCAACATAAGACTCAGAGACAACAAGATCTCATTGCTGGTAAACATCGAAACCAGGCTTTCCGTCTTGTTCTACAGACTTCTATGTTCTTTCCAACCAAAACCAAAACCAAAAAAAAAAAAAAAAAAAGACTCCTGTTTAAAATCATGAGGGGAAGGATTTTATGATTCCAGGGTATCGACATTATTAAACACCAGTTGCAAGCTATTTTTAGGTTGCAAATGTTCTTAAGAATATCAGATTCACCAAACAGCTGGCTCTTTACTTAAAAGTGGCACACCCTGGAATCCCAGGGCACATTCCCTCCAAGACAGATGATAGAACATGTCAATAGGAGAAACTGGGGAGGATGTTAATTAAATTTAGACCAAGCAAATGCTTTTGATGGAACAAGCCATGATTTTCTCTTTAATCTCATGCAAAGTATGGAGAGCCAGGCCAGCGGCTGAGCAGACGACAGCGCTATCTGTGGCTTGCGTGATTTTCAGCTTTCCCCATCTATGGCCCCCTCTTCTTGTTTTTCCCCTCTGGGTAGCATGTTTTGAAAGATTCTGTCTACTAAACAAACTGCATTTATTGTGGAATATTTCCTATTTTTAGTATGGGACACATATGATGAGCATGTATAAAAACATAAAACAGCAACAAGCAACATTCGACAAGCAACAGCAACATTTGTCTCTTGGAAATAGAATAGTTTGGGGGCCTCATTCCCACTCTTGAATTCCCAGGAGTCCAGATCCTCTGGGCTGGGCTGACATGATGGTGCTCACTTCAAGAGCTGGGGGAGAAACTGAAGAGGCAATGGGAACAGGGGAACTTCCTGGCTGCATGCAGAGCCAGTGGGACAATTCCTAAGGAATCCACGGTCAAGGTCAATTATAAAGATAGCAAGGTCAGGTGTAGGCAGAGACTGTGCATGGTCCACGCAGATCACAGGAGCAGTCATAAATAGATGGAAAGATAAAATTCAAAATATGCAAAAAAAAAAAAAAAAACAGGAAAGGGCCTTCAGGGCCAAGGGCAAAGCTGTAACAACCAGAGGAGGGGGGGGGCTAAAAGGTAATTTGGAAGAAGTGAAAATGCAGGATGGTCATTAGGAAAGATCAATGTGTATTTTGGAGAACAAAGAAATGTAAAGGGAATAAGGAAATTAAAGGAAAAGAGATTGTGTGGGACTTGGAATTAATTATTAATTAATTCCACAAGAGAGTCTCGAGACTAATTGAGCGGGCTCTGGTGCCAGTTTGCCTGCGTGTGAGTTACAAGTGGCCCCTGCCAAGAGCACGTAATTTTACAGAGGCGGATGCCTATGAAACAGCAGGGTAAACACAGCCTCTGTGTTCACTCCTGAGCAGAGAGGGCTCAGCCAGGTCAGCACGCCTTACAGTTTTCTCTGTTCACTGTCCCACGGCTAGGAACTACAAATGACAGCCATGGCACACACTCCTAGCTCAAGCCGGAAGAGGAGCAGGGGACCTTCCCCTGAGATAGATAGAGATAGATAGATAGATAGATAGATAGATAGATAGATAGATAGATAGATAGATAGATAATAGATAGATAGATAGATAGATCCCAAATAGAAAATGATGATTTTAAAAAAAAAGAGAGAGAAAATTTTTACAAATAAGAAATTGGAAAAAATTTGGAGAATAAAGAGCAAGGCTCTAAAAACAAAACTCATGTAAAGACACACAAGGGCAAAATTATACTAGGGGGGGAAAATGACATTCAAAGGATAGTTGAGAGCACCCAGGAAATGGAAGCATTCAGGCTAAGCAAAAACGTTAAGCAGAATATTTTGCATTAAAAAGCTGCTGGTGACGGGCTGGGGATGTGGCTCCAGGGGTAATGCGCTCGCCTGGCATGGGCGGGGCACTGGGTTCTATCCTCAGCACCACATAAAATGAAGATGTTGTGTTCACTGAAAAACAAATATTAAAAAATTCTCTCTCTCTAAAAAAAAAAAAAGCTGCTGGTGAAAGCTCATGTAATGATTTTATAGGGGTGTGAGCGGGAGGAGAAAGAGCAGCCGTTGAAAGCACCACATTGAAAACCTTGCAGACCATTTGGCCAACAGTGTGGGAAAGAAAGAGTGGGCCAGGAATAGCCACAGCATGGAAGGGGGGGGGTGCTGTTAAAAGGCCAGGAGAAAGAGAGGCAGAACCTGGTCTGGGTAAGGTGCTCTCTGGAACTAGAAAATACTGAGACCTGCAGGAGGGGCTGGGAAAGAGAGTGTTTCCTGACACTCTGTCAAATGTGAAGCAAACGATGGAGAATAAACATTTAGGTTTATCACACTGACGGAAGCAAATATGTGACAGATTGAATGTTCACAGAGATTTCCGTTTGTTGTTTCACTAGTAGGAAAATTAAATATGCATTACGTAAGTCTCTGTTATGGCAATTTGTTGTGAACTCTGTGGAGTCTGTATTCCTCGAGACGTTTAAGGCCGTGGTACGTGGTGGTCTCCTGGATACCATGTGACCACCTGATCCAACAGGATCACTCAGAATCCCTTTGCTTCTGGGTCTCTAGGCACCTTTATGGTCCTACAGTGTTTTAACTAATGCAGTGATGTTAGAATAGCACCCCTTCTAGTGGACCACTGGACGCTCTGCACATGTTGACCACTTTCTCCCTGTCGTGCTGTCCTAGCTCACCAGAGTTCCTGTGGAGTCCTGCGGTCAGTATCGGAGCTGCGGGGATTGCCTTGGCTCCGGTGATCCCCACTGCGGCTGGTGTGTGCTCCACAACACGTGAGTACTGCAGCCCCTTCCTCCTGCCTCCCACTTCCTTCCAGGCATTCCCTTCCTCCTCCTCTACTCCATCGTCACGCTCTTTTCTTTCTTGCATGCTTTGCAAACTTTATCTCCCTTTATTTGTTCTTTCTGGCTTCACTTAAAATTCTCCAATTCTCATAAGAACTATAGAGAAACGGCGGTATGGGGATGATGACAGGTAGGGCTATGAATGGCACACTGGGTAACTGCACCCTGGAGGGCCAGAGGACGGGAGGTCCCTGGACTTCCCTGAATGATCCGTCTGGAGGCTGACTTCCCAGGACTGAATCCCAGGACAAAGGCATAGGGCCATTTTCCTCAAGTTCACAAGGACCACCAAGTCCTGTGCAGGGTACATGCTGTCCGTCAGGTGGTTCTGCATCTACTCAACATGATCTTGATATCTTCACAGAATTTTCTGGCACTTGAGCGTGTTGTTCAAGTTTTAGCACCCAGGGCCCTTTCTCTGCTGTCATAACATCCCTTAACTAACTGGCTGGCGATGCACTTAGACTGCAGTCATTGGGTCACTGAAGCCTGGCCCAAGGGCTGGCACCTACCCTAGTGCTTCCTTTTGTATTTTATTTTTTTTTTAATGAATTTAGGATTGGGAGAGTTAGGCCTCACCAGCCACATTGAGATCATGTAGAACTGTTTTACTTTACTTTAGTTATTTTGGTGCTGGGGATGGAACCCAGGGCCTGTGCCTGCCAGGCAAGCCCCCCACCGCCGAGCTGCACCCCCAGCCCCTAGGTGCTTCCTTCTGTTCTGGCTCCAATTCTAGAAGTGGAGAGGAGGCAGTAATATTATAGGTGGGACGTACCACACCCAGAACTAGCAGAGACAGAGAGCTGGAGGTCTTTCTGGGGATCCAGACCCTTGACATCACTACCTAGAGAAACAGCCGTAGCTGGACACCCCCCCCCCCAACAGCGATTGGCCCCAGTCCAGCTGTTGGTGCTTTAGATCAACACCCAAAGTTTCACACTTTCTGAGTTGGACACAAATATTATAAGTGAAGGAGAAGACTTTAGTCTTCCCACTGACACTGGAACTGTAGGTAACCAGTGACATTTACCGGTCACCGTGAAAAAGTGGAGAATCTCTCACTTTGTTGTCTCCATCTGCCTTAAGGAGGAACACCCCCTTAAATTTTGAAAGTTAGAAATGCACTCCCAGATTCTAACTCGAGTTCTCTAAGGGAACAGACACCTTCCCCATCTCTGAGTGCCAGTCTCTGGCACAGTGAGGCCTTGTGTTCCATGAGGAAAGATCTGAAATCCCTTAGGTGTGTTGTGTTAGGAAACCATGGAGACCACTGAGCTACCCTGAGGCCTACGGAAGTCAGGGACAGATCAAGGGCTGCAGGCAGGGTACTCCAAGGTTACCTGGTAACAGAGGGGGGGAGTCTAGGAGAGACCCATGGAAAGAGGCTGGCAAGACTGCACTCAGTATGCAGGTGAGCTCCGACCCACCCGGGAGAGCTCCCTAGATGCACTTTGCCAGGGGCAGGCAGAGTATGTTCTCCATCCCACACAGGGAGGCCTCTGGGGAATGACTTGGGTTCCAACCCATTGCTTTACTGAGCGGCTTGAAGCCACCTGGCTTTTGAGGTGGATCAGCTGCTCCCCACATGGGACAGGCACCAGTCAAAGGCATTCCAAAGAACAGGCTCCTCTCCAATACTGCAGTCCCACGGTTCCACGTCAGTGTCTGCCACAGTGCCGCCCCAGCCCACATGGCACTGGACCCAAAGAGCACCACGTGGTCGTAGGCTCTGAGAAAGTGGCAGAGAGACTACAAATACTCCACCTCCCATCCCTCTCAGCAGGAGTGAGAGCAGAAGGTACCAGACATTCCTTCCTGTGTGGCCTTTGTTTCCTCGCCTGTCCCACACTACTGACTCCTGTCAAGTGGCAGAAAACAGGGGTGAACTGAGACAAAGAAGAGTAGGGGCTGTCTGTGAAGGAGGCCATCAGGCTACACCAGGGCCAGCAGCTCTATAGGCACTGAGGTCCACCACCAAATCCAAATTCCCACACCCTGGCATCCATTCTCCTGGCCCGTGAACTGGAGATGGTGATGTTTGACTTACTGAATGGCTGGAGACCTTGTAGGTGAACATGCTGGGTGGCCATGGAGCCTTGTGAAATGTCCGGTGGGGTGGGACAGGGAGCTTGAGGGGCTGGGGAAGGTGTGAGGGCCCAAGCTCCCTCTCTCTTTGACTTTGGTTTGCTCCGGTGATTTTCCAGATGGCTCTCCTTTCACTGCATGATTCTCTTCCGGAGGGTGACACAGTGTCAAGCTCCTTCCTCTGCTGGGTTCTGCTCACCTGGCATTGTGTCTTACTCTCTAGCCTGGCATTGTGTCTTATCCTGAAGGTGGCACCTGGCAAGCCTAAGCGCTAGCCCTTAGGAAGTCAGGCTCACAGAGAATCAGGCTGCACAAGGGTCTTCTCTTCAGGGGGTACCCAGCCCTGAGCTGCTGCTTCCAGGGCCCCTCCTCGCCCAGGAGCCACAGTAGGAGCCAGCAAGTGAAAGGGATGGGGTGCTCTGGAAAGATTCCTGGGGTGGCCGTTCTAGTTCTCACACCTTGAAAAATTGGGGGGCTTTAAGCTACTATAGTAGATCCCCATTGTATGCAGTCGCTGTGTCCTATCAAGTTCTGGGAATCTGGAGTAGCAAATATGACATCATTGCTCTGACAAGGAATACAGGCTTGGGTTTCCCGGAAGCCCCCAGTCACAACATCTTCATCAATGGATGAACGCATAACTTTGTTTTATGTGTGTTTCTGTTTAGAGACAGCTGACTTAATATGCAGCATTGATTCATTAACATTGAACTTCTGACCAACAGCATCGTAAATTCCTAGCTGAATGAAGTTCATCTAACAAGTGCCTTTCCTTCATAAGTCACACCATGGCCTTCATGTGCTTAGAAACACTAGACAGCACTTCAGCACAGCACTTAGGCCATTTTAAACAGTGAAGTCGCCAAAAAAAAAAAAAAGCACAAAACTTGAAAAACGTAGCACTAAATAAACCTCAATGGACACTGCTGTATAATGTGAAGGCTGGGATAGAAGGCAGAGCCTCACCCTGTCCAGCCTCAACTGGGAGCACATACATCAGGTGGCTCAACTCTTCAGCCAGTCCATGCATGTCCATAAGGAGCTCAAAAGTGCCACTAGTACTTGTTTTGGGGTCACAAATGAATGCTAATGATGAGCTGAATTTGCAAATATGGAATCCATAAATAATGAGGATTGACCATAACTCACCAAAAAACTCAGCACCCTCCAAAGATGGAGCACAGTGTTTCTCATGGTGGTGGCTGGAGGATAAAAGGAGGTAATGAAAGCAGTTGTGAACATCCAAGGTGCTCTGCCAGGGCAGGGCGGTGTTCTGTGTAACCTTGAACCTGCTGGTTAAGTGAATCACCTGGTGAGGGGAGACAAAGGTGTGGGGCCCCAACTCCCTGGGGAGGACACAGCTCTAGAGCCCCCTCAGGCCCAGGCGCCTGCCCACCAAGACGTTAGTAAGTCCATACTTCACCCTCCAAGAATCAGCCACCAAGAAGGTCCCTGGGTCTTCTGAGATGTTTTCAATCAAGATAGAATTTTAAGTTTTTACAGGATAAGGTGCACAGATCCTAAGCTCGAACACATGCGAACACCCAGGTCACCCAGATCTAGAGCATTTCCTTCCTCCAGAAAGTTCTCTCCTGCTCCTCAGACATTGCTTCTCCTGGTCTGCCCTGCTCTCCGTTTTGGGGGGGTACAACCTAGATGTGCATGGCTGAGAGAGACGATGAGGAAGTCGACAGGCAGGAGAAGGAGAAGGCTGGGGACAAGCAGGATCATCAAGACGAGGAGCCCTGCGGACCAGAAAGGGAACAGTGTGGAAGGTGTTCTTGCTCCCTGGAGTTCCGGGTCCAACACACACACACTCTGGTGCCTAGATCTGCCCCTCCCTCCGTGCCAGACTCAAGATACAAAGGTGGTGACATTAGATCACCTATGCCCTGAAGTTTCTTGGGAACCAACCTCTAATCCAGTCACAGAGTGGAGGCTGCATCCTGTACTAGAATCCATGATATTTGTTAAGCTTCCATCATAGGAAGACCTGGTGCTAGGTGACCTTGTCTCTTGCTGAGTGTCCCCAGCAAAGCTGACCTTCAGGAAGACTAGGACAGAGAATAGATGAACAGGTTCCTTGAGCTGTCAAGGTAACTCCCTTTCCCTAGTGGCTTTTGCCAAGTTTCCCTATGGTCATGGGGAGCAAGGAGGTGGTAGCCTGGTGGGAAGAACAGGACAACAGATGGTGTGTGTGTGTGTGTGTGTGTGTGTGTGTGTGTGTGTGTGTGTGTAAGAGACAGAGGCAGAGCAAGCAAGGAAGAGAGGGAGAGTGCTGGAGAGAAAGAAAGAGAAGGGAGACAGGGAGAAAGAAGACTGAGAGCCTGAGGGTGGGGCCTCTGGGAACAGGTGGCCCAGGTGGCTGAATGGGCTTTTGTACTGGAGAGGTCACGGGAGGGTTGCAGACAGAACATGTTGAAGAAATGTTCCTGTAATTTAAATCCTCCCTCCTGTTATTCCCTCTCAATTATTGCAAAGCTCTATTTGCAAGGCTGGTGGTGAAGAGGGTCACCTTTGCTGCCCTCTTCTGCAGTCCCTGACCCCAGCCTACAGGCTTGCCCTTTCTAATGGCAATGACAGCTCAACAAAGCTAGGTATTTATTTGCTGAGACTTGAGCCTCTATTCCCAGGGCACCCCCCACACACACACAGGGGTCCCGTGTCGAGCCAACCTCTTTTGATGTGGGTGGGGGTAAAAGAAAGCCCACATCTGGGTCTGCCCCCCCCCAGCTGTCTCCTGTGCTGGACCTGGAACATTCCCTCCAGGGACCAGGCTTGGCAGGTCCGCAGCCCCCTCCCCATCTTACCCTTGGCTCCATGCCCAGGCCAAGAAGCCTATC